GAGGCATATGCAACAACCGGGCTCCCGGCAGGAACAAAGACGAAGAGAGTCGCCCGATGAGAGTGGCCATAATCGCCCGCGATCGCTGGCTGCAAGGGAATCCAACGAAGTGGCTACTACAACTCGAGACAATAATGACCGACGACCACCTATATCAAGACCTCATCTACTCGACTCAAACACATCCCGCCCTACTAGAGGGCATCGGCGACGAAATTCAGAACAAGGTAGAACACAACGGGCTACTTCACCCGTTCGCGTCAACCAGGCATCGACCTCCGACGACACACTACGGCCTGCAGTTCGGTCTTCCAGCGATATGACCTCCGAACGTACGCGCGGGGCTTTGGGCCATTCAAGAGCAGAATCGTCTAGCAGAACGCGACGGGCAACAGATTCCGACAACAACATTTCGGAGACATGGATGGGTGGAGGGCGAGAAAGGGCCCCCTCCAGAAATGTCACCAGTCAATCTGCATCCGATTCCCCTACCTCGGTCAATTCACACTCCAATTTATCACACAGTTCCACTCCGATTGAGCGCTCGGCCCCAACGCTATCGTCGCCACTTGTACCACCCCGGAGTGAAAGACGACCTAAAGCATCTCGAACACAGTATCCCGAGCCGTCGATCTCGTGTGACGCATGTAGCAAGCCGGATATTCAGTATGAGTTACATAAAAGATGCCCGACGTGCAAAAATGGCAGCTACCACCTTTGTCTTCGATGTTATCGTTCTAGCCGGGGCTGTCTCCAATGGAACGGCTTCCAAAAAAGTGCACAGGCAGCCTTTGAACGGATGCTTGCATCATCAAACAACCGACCAGCCCCGGCCTCTGATGCGGGCCATCTTCTCGTTTCCCAAAAATACGAAAAGCCTCGAGAATCGTCCCAAGTGGTGACAAACGGCGAAAGAACTTTGACGAACGATAACCCTGCGCGACGTTTGCAAGCCGGGCTATTCTGCGACATTTGTTTCTCTTCGACAAACGAATGTTTCTGGAAGTGTAGTCAATGCAACGAAGGAGACTGGGGCTTCTGCAATCACTGTGTGAATCAAGGCCGGTGCTGCACAGATCCCCTTTTACCCATTCGGCGGGTTTACGGAAGCCGAGACTCAACTACCACGACGAGTTCGACCGAAGTGGCGACCCCGACATCACCAAGCTCACTTACAGAGAGCTTCAAGATCCTTTCATTCTCCACCAATTGCGACATCTGCACCTACCCGATTCCGGCCTCGGTGACGCGTTTTCATTGCTCACAGTGCAATGATGGAGATTATGATGTCTGCACAAACTGTTACCGCAAACTCGTCATGACCTCGAAGATTACCAAAGACAATGGATACAATGGGTGGCGTCTTTGCCTAAAGGGTCATCGGATGATCATTGTAGGATTCGAAGATGGGCAAGATGGACAAAGACGAAAGATTGTCCAAGACCTGGTTGGAGGACACGCTTTAAAAGAAGAACATATGAATCGCTGGCCTGCATCATCTCCTGTTACCAGCGGGCCTATTGCGTCCCCGGAAATTGGCAGTGGCCATTGGAGCTGGAAGGAATCTCAAGGCCAAGAACGTCGCAAGAAAGCTTCACGTGTGCGAAGTCCCGTCTCCCAAAACGGCAGCTATACATATTCTCATTCCGATAACGCGGGTCAAAACAACGGTACGTCTACATCGCAGTACGCTCCTCCTCTCCGTCGTTTCCCTCCAGATGGAGGTGTCGGTCTCGTCGTCTATGCGATGTGGTCTTGTTACCCCGAAGAAGGGATCGATGATGAATTGGTGTTCCCGCGTGGTGCTCATATAAAGGAGGTGGAGAACATTAATGATGACTGGTTTTGGGGATGTTATGCTGGCCGAACGGGATTGTTTCCTGGTTCAATGGTTACTGTGGTCGGGGAGATTAAATGAGCATTGGTATCGACTTGGAGGGGTGTTTTCTTGCACTGTTCAAGTTTATGCCCTTGCATGATGTTATTATTATTATGACGATGATGATTATGATACGCATGATTGCATGTATATCGACTGGAATGTAATTGATTGAACCAAGGAATCTGTTCTACGCTCTTTCTTGGAATATGGTGTCCAGACACGACAATAGTGGACTTGTCATCCACTCGACATTTCATTTCATTTCATGGGGGGCATAGAAAAACTGGTATCTGATAAAGTACATGCAAGGTGAAGATCAAACTGCCAACAACAATGAAAGCTGAATGAGGAAGACGATGGAAACTTGGGGAACGCCAAAAAGAAAAAAAGGAAAAGGCAGAAGTGACGACCACCCAAATTAAATAGAAATGAAAAGGAAAATGGCATGCTAACCCTGCAATCCTTTGGAATCTTACTCCAAAAGAGCAACCATCAAGCGCTCGTAATCACCGGATGTCTCCCCACGTACACGATCGATCAGGTTCTTACCAAAGCGATGGCGATAGGCAGCCTTGACACGTTCCTTATGATTCCTGTTCCAATGGACGCGAACCACACGAACAACAAGCTTTTCATCCTTAGTCCCCATTCCCGACATGCACTCTTCAAGTAGAATAGCATCACGCATAGCAGGATCTGTTGCCGTACGAAGCATATGCAAGAAAGCATCCTCCATATGACCCGAAAATTCCTTCTCGAGATGTTTCTCCAGCGAAACATTATACCGGCGATGAAACCCCTGATCAATAGCCCTGAGCTCCGCGTCCGACGAGCGCGCCAGAATCCCCGAGACCTCGGCGATGTTATTAACCATCCGGCCTGCGGTAGATCCGTGCAGCGTGCGCACTTCATCCTCGACAGCTTGCGGGTTGATGGGGACGGACTCCTCGCGACGATCGGCGCGGATAACAGCCTTGAATAGATCGGCCGTTTTGAAGGAGAGATCGCCCGCGACGTCGTCGCTCAGATTGCGACGGTACTTGCGCTCGTAGCCTGTCTTGATGGCGTTGAGATCGGCGTTCGATCGGCCCAGGATGATATCGTTTAACATCCATTCCTTTGTGCCTATTCCGTCGATAGCTTCGCGGGCGCAGACTACGTCGTGCGTGAGCGGTCCTTCGATCACGGCTAGGAGGCCTTGCTCGAGATATCCGCCCGTCTCGGATTTGACATCCTTGTACAGGTCGCGGCCGATGTGGGTGGTGTATGTGGCGCGCACGGCAGCCATTTGGAGCGGGTCTAGCGGGGCCAGGACGGAGATCAGGGCTTTCTCGTCGGTACCGAAGCCTTTCATTGCTTTGCGGATGATGTCACATTGTTGGCGGAAGTCTCCCGGGGCTGTTTGACCGGGCGTGTAGCCTAGTGATGGCATGGCTGGGGGTCCCATTGGGGCACTGTAGGGTGCGCCATGAGGTGCGCCATGTGGTGCGCCATGGGGAGCACCGTGTGCGCCTGGGGGAGGGGCGCCATAGCCGGGACCTCCCGGGGGCCCGGGGGGGAGGAGGGGCATAACCGTGTTGCGGCTGGCCGTAGGGTTGTTGACCATGTGGGGGGAGCTTGTCCGTACGGTGGCTGCGGTGATGGAGCATGATAGCCTGCTGGAGGTTGAGGAGAGGGAGCACCGTAATGACCCTGTCCATGCGGAGGCTGTGGGGGGAGGCTGACCGTAGCCTTGCTGAGGAGGATAGTGGCCTTGTTGGTGTTGAGGAGGAGCACCGGGAGGGGCACCGTAGGGTTGTTGAGGGTAGGGAGGTTGCTGGGGATAGCCTTGAGGAGGATGGCCCTGCTGAGGAGGGTATGCGCCGTATGGAGGCTCTGCTGCAGGTTAGAACAACTACTAGTGTTCTTGTGATGATCCAGGGTCACTCACGGTTTGGTGGGGGGGTATTGTTGATAAGACATGACGTGGGGGAAGGGTGGAGGGTAAGGTAGGGTGAAGGAATAGAGGAGTTTGACAGAACTAGAAGAAGATCAGGATCAGGTCAGACTTATAACCCGGAGTGGTTCTTGTGTCCCTCGAGTTCTCTCGTGCTCTCGTTCTCTGGTTCGCAGTGTGGCGCAGTATCGAAAGGTGGGGGTGCGCAGCCCTGCTGGGCTCGTGTTAGCGCCTGTTTAATCATCAGATTGACGTGTGCCAATGTTCGGTCTTTTGCCATAAGCCACAGCAGGGGAATGCTGCCTGTTCCCAGAGACTTGGTGGCGCAAAGTCTAGACTGGATGAGTGGTAGTGGTGGTAGTAGTTGGTTATAACTTATTAGTAACCAGTACTAGTAACTACTAGCCACCAGTATTCGACATCGGAAAGCGTAGATTATCATTCTGAGGCTGTGCAACAAGGCTGAAATTAATAAATCACGAACTGTGGAGATGCGACTCGGAGTACCTGGGTATCATTCATAGAATATTAATAGAAGCACCTTAATTCCACTCCAGGGCATCAAGCTTGGAACCATGGTTGGCGAAACTCGCTCAGCCATGTGCGATTTGCATCCGTGGATGAGAATAGTAAGTAGTACTAGTTAGTATTCTGATATATTAGTAAGAGATGCCTACTCCTAAACGCTCCTACTATTGAAGAGGTAGTAGAAACCTTGGAAGTATTTAATATCCGAGTCCGAGTCTGCACCAAACTTAAACCTCCTATTGCCCCCTACTACCTAGGTGTAGCCCTCTTACTAGTATCACTACTCCCAGGTGCAGTAGACCAATTAGTTTCACCCTCGTTTGCTCCTTCCTAAATATTCAATCTTTCTTGATTGAACCTGTTCCCCGCAATTCTGATCGTTAGCCCAACCCCTCGTCTCAAGTTCGGCTACGACTACCAAACAAAGGCCATGATCTCCAACTACTCCAGCGATCATCTTTTTTTTTTCGCTAAGGCGACGGATCTCGCCGGGTTCCAATTGAATACTCCAAGATGATCGTCAACAGGAGAAACATAAAATGATGGCATATCATATCCAGTCCGTCTTTGCTTTCTTCCCAGGGGTTTCCATCATCAACACATTCATCTCCGATCCATCAAGTTCAAGTTCAAGTTCAAGTTCAAGTTCCAAAAATGGGCCATTTGTCGTACCTAGCGGCCGTGCTATTTACTGGCTATGCAGGTGCAAATCTCGCCTACAAGTCAAGACCCGACCTCGCCGCTCCGGTGTTAAACATTTCCATCCCAGCGACAAATGAAACAGCCGATGGGCTGATTTTCTACACGCCCGAGAGCATCTACGCAGATAATACCGGCCACGGGCCCGCACAATCTGGACCGTATATCTTCACCGACAAAGGCGATTTAGTATGGACCGGCTTTGGTTATGTCGGACCTCGAAGCGAAAACTTCCTTGTCCAGAATTATAGAGGACAACAGGTCCTGACGATCTTTGAAGGCTCGCACAATTCACCGATGGGCCACGGGCACGGCCACACTAGCATCTTCGATAATAAGTATCGGCTTTTGAAGCAAATTAAGGGTGGCGGACACAAACTAGCCGATCAGCATGAGTTTCTCATTTTCGATGACCATTCCGCTGTCTTCACTGTTTATGATCCCGAGATCGCCGATCTCTCGGCTTATGGAGCGGAATCCGATTCCCAGCAATGGATCCTGGATAACAAAATACAGAAGGTGGATACTGATACAAATCGGGTCCTCTGGGAATGGAGCTCTCTCGAACATATCGACCCTGCAGGAACTAACCTGACCCTGGAAAGCGGAAACGCCGGTACCGGCGTGAACTCGAGCCAGGCCTGGCATTACTTTTACATGAACGCATTTGACATAGATGTGGCAAATAACAAATATCTTCTCTCTGCCCGAAGTATGTGCACGATCTTCAAGATGGACGGTGACACGGGGAAGATCATCTGGCAACTTGGAGGGCCGAATTCGAATTTCTCTCTAGGAGAGGGAGTGGATTTTTGCTGGCAGCACGATACCAGAATGCATCATAAATATCTCGAACATGAGACGAAAGGATCGAAGGAAATAATTTCTTTCTTTGATAACTCTGCCCATGAAAATCTCGCCGGTGGACCGGATCTACAAACCCGCGCATATAGTGCCGGAAAGGTTGTCGAGCTGGATACTGAAAGCTGGACTTCGAAGCTCATTGCTGAGTTCCGAGCACCGGAGGATCTCTCTGTTCGATCGCAGGGCAATTTGCAACTGCTTCCGAATGGGAATGCGTTCATTAATTGGGGGTATGACGGGGCCATGTCAGAACACAAGCCTGATGGCACGACAATCTTCTTTTCCGGAATGGACTCTGGAAAGTTTGGTCCCGGATCAGAGAATTACCGTGCTTTCAAGTTTGACTGGCATGCTTTGCCATATGAGGAGCCAGCTTTGGTCGCATTCAAGGAGTCGAATGGAACAGCTTTGTATGTCAGTTGGAACGGAGACACAGAGAGTAAGATGTGGAAGTTCTTCGGGGAAGATGAAAAGGGACGGAAAATGCTACTGGGTCAAGCGAAGAGGACTGGGTTCGAAACCGCCTTTCGCACTTCTCACACACCTATCCGTGTGTTAGCCGAGGCTTTTGATGTCCGAGGTCACCGATTGGTGTCCTCTTCAGTCGTCAAAACAAGGGATTACAAGCTACGACTTGAATATTCTTGAATCTCGAATGCTCAAGATATCCCAAGAGTTTGTGAGCGGAGGCTCTGTGCAATATTTGAATAAATTTATCCTTTAAGTCCAGCTTATGAATCGGGTATCACAGAAAGCCAGCAAGATTACCTAGCGGGTAGTACCTTGGAAACTGCCGCAAATGCAAATTATTCAACAATATACACGAAAATATCTCGCACGGATCATTAAATCAAACGTCCCCAGTGCCAGCCGGGATATAAATTCCGCGCAAGAGACCGCGAGGTCAATGCAAATCTGAAGTCGTAAAGCTTTCCTCTCCACAATGTATCAAACACGAACAGGAAATGAGGGCAGAGTAAAGGACCGAAAGTCTTGCACAGGGGTAAAAAATTGAAGTGAATGGAAGAAGGCAAAAAGCGAAAAAAAAAAAAAAAAAGAAAGAACTATTAGACTGTCGCAAGGGTATTGGATATATCATGCAAATCATGTAGTAGAAATCATGCTTCGTAAAGTTATCATGTAGGTAGGCGTGTAGTACTGCCCAGGTGTTCATTAAACGCTTGCTGTGCGACGCTTAACCTCACTCGGCTTCTGTGCATATGCAATGAGCATGCGAAATCCAGTGCCTCGCTTTTGACACTCGCGGAGCGTCTTGCGATCATTCCACATGCTGGGGTCGTTGTCGCCCGTATTGGGGAGAACCGGGTCCTCGTAGCATTTGGTATACCACCAACGACCAACACGAGCCACAATCTTGGCAATGGACTCGTCATTCGCAGCAGAAGGAGAGGGGTCTGAGAGGAGGTCTCCCAGGGAGATATTATCATCCGAGGGGGACGATTTGGATGCTGTCCGTGTGCTCTGACTTCCTGTCGCCGTGGAGACAGAAGTAGAAGTATTAGGAAAGGAGAATCCGGTTGATTGGGTACCGGCCGATGCAGAAAAAGACCGACCCGAGGAGGATGTCGTTGAGTCGGAAGATCGGACAACCATTCCCGCGACTGGAATACGAACCATGCATCGGCGAAGGTTGTCAAATCCTTGAGTGCCGATAAGTCGTTGGACGCTATCACTTGCCGGGCTGAGGCTGATTGTTGAGTTGGCAAGACATGTCATTTCTTTCAATCGCCGAACAGCTTTGCGGGTGCGAACACCCATATTCACCATGTCTCGGTCTAGCACACTCATTTCGAGGTAGCCGCCGGAACGAAGAACTCGCCTGCACTCTTGAAGCATATTGTTTTGCACCGCCTCGGATGTTGCTGCGGGGAATCGTAAGACTGCAACTGCAAAGTAGTCCTTCGGAAATGGAAGAGGGTTCTGTAGCCCGGCATGATAGACTGTGTGGTGATTTGTCGGAGGTTGCCAGGCAGCAGGGTGAGATATGGCTGTGGAAACTGGTCGGCCGCTTAGACTGTATACTTCCGCATCTGGATAGGTCAAGGAGCAGTAAAATGACCAGTCATCGTTCCCAAGGCCATCAATCACAAGGATTCTCCCATGAGTTCCAGACTTGACATGGTTGTGTGCTGGGCTGAAGAGAACACGACCAAATGATAGCCAACGACTAGTCATTAGGGAAGCAGATCGCATATTGGTACGTGTCACAGCATCCCAGTCACGCTCGGAGGGCTCGTAAACAGCTCTGCGTCCATCCGACTTTGGCTTCGTTGAAGCAACCGCCGCAAGGGAGTGCAAGAATGACGATTGCTGATGCTGGACATGGTCTGAAAAGTCCAATTTGGGAGTTCGAGGACTGCCGAGATTTTCTTCACGGTCTCCGTAGCTAGCAATAAGATCGCTGTAGGATGGCTGGGTTGAAGGGGCCATTGGTGAATACAAAGCAGAGACAATTCTTGAGCGGCGAAGGTGAACTGAATCACTGCTGTCCCTATTAGACTCCTCGCCTCTTGGCAGGGATGGTGGCTGAAGCGAGTTAGGATTCTTTAAGCCATCCTGAAGAGCGATGCTTGCCATTGTTGCTTTCTGGAATCTAGATTCATCCTCAGGTTTAGCGGATTCATCGGGCTTCGGCTCTTCTGGGGAAAAGTGATCTATAAGGTCATCGTACTCGTTCCACACCTCATCTTGGGTCGGCGCAGTGGCTGCGCCGGGAACAACAGCAGTGACAGCAGCTAGGGCCCCGGAACTGCTTGATGAAACAGAGCCTTTGTGCGGAGGCGAAAAGTGAAGAAACTCACTGGCTGAGTAAGGGCCAGCAAGGAAGTCCAAGGCGCTTATTTGCTCGGGTGCGCTAAACACTGGGTTGTAGCCATATCCCCAGTCGAAAGGCTTGCTTGACGACACGTTGGGAGAAGATTTATCATGTCGATGATATTCATTTTGGCTTTCCACTACCGGGGCCGGGATAGAGAGCGACTCCGCAACACTGAACGGTCGAGAAAAAGACTGCATGTCCTGTCTCAGTTGCCTATCACGCCTTGAGACTACCTTTGGAATGCGGCCTACTGAGGCAAGTCTTCTTGGCCGGCGGTCTTCGGGGCTACCCTCAGGTTCTGAACCCATGATATTGCGATTGAACATGGCAGTCTTCGGAGAAGGTTTGTCGCCGTCGAATTCACCATGCATCTTGGGCGGAGAGCGGAGTAGAATTGATGGCTGTCTTTTCTTGATATTCAGTCCCGCAGGAACTTCCACTGGTGCGACAGGGACCTCTTCTTCCGTTGGTGGTGAATGCTCAATGTTGCTGATAATCCGTTCAAGCTCGTCGGAATCTTCGTCAACAATTGCGTAGTGAGCAACGGGTCGGATATTCAGAACAGGAGAGATAGCAGCATGAAGCTGGGCCGCGTGAGCAGCTGGCGCAGGTACAAGGATAGTTTGGGAGGAGCCCTTGACATCGTTGCCACGGCTTCTGTGGAAAGGGTTCCAACGTGAGGATTTCGATTTCTTTACCTGTTGTTCTTCCGACTTTTTAGGCTCTTGCTTGGGGGAGGGCGATATTGAAGAGACATTCGGGGCTTGTTTTGCTGCTGAAGCTGTGTCGTGGCTCGAGAGAGACGTGGCACTGGGACTGGATGCCAGCGTACTCATTTTGCCTTTGGGAACCGGCATCCGTGACTTTTGAAACTTGGGGTTGACAAGGGCTGGCTTTTTTACCGGGCTCTTGCTTCTAGTTTGTCCAAGGCTCGCAACGGATTCATTGGGCGTATTTGCTTCCCCAAAAGTACCCGTGGAAGTAGCCAATGACTCAGTAGATTGCACAGTTGAAGATGTAAGCGGTGTCGGATGAGGAAGGTTTGAAGACGTCACGCTCATGCTGCTGATGCTCTGCTCACTTTGGGTCCGTGAAAGAGTTCCCCCATCCATGCCTCCGCCGGTAATGACGACCGGTTCTAGTCGGCTCGAGAAGAAGTCATCCAACTCAAGGTCGGGTCGACTAGACATGCTCCCTTTACTGCTGGCTACTGAACGAGAAACACTCCTTGTTGTACTCGTTGATCTCGTTCTCGTGCCAGTGCTGCCGCTGGCACTTGCTTTGCGGCCCCGCTGAGAATATTTCCCATATCCCTCATGGCCGGTCCCTGCAGCCGGTCCCTTGCGAGCCGTACGAGCTTGGTCGATCAATGAATCATCCAGTTCTGGTTTTGATTTCCTAGAGAATAGACCAAAGCGTTTGGGAGAAGCGGCCACTATTTTTGTCTCGGATTTATCTCTAGGCGGCTCTTTGGTCAGTGTTCGAGGTGATTTGCGGACCATGACAGGAGAGCCTGCTTCCCGTGATGGAATCCGTGAAAGATCCTTAGATCGCAAAGAGTCTGTTGAAGTGGCGGCAGAGTGGTTTGGAATCGGAGTGGTGCTTTTCTGTCCCTGTATCCGTATTCTTTCGGCCGATTCGCGACGCGTATGACCTGTCGATCTGAGATATGGTAGATTGCTTTTTATCACGGGCGAAGTTTCAAGATCTAGACGCGGCGCACCATCTCTACTAGGTCGCGGTGGAGTTTTCGGCACACTTGGCGCTGGGCTCGAAATGACACTTCCCGGGCGATGGGAATTGAAAAGTTCCAGCTCAGCCTCTTCAACTTCCTTCTTGGCCTTTTCGACATCAATATCAACCTCCTTTGATGGACTTAACTTCGTTGATGACTTCCTTGGAGGCGGGCTATGTGGCGGACCTCTTAAGATGGCAACATCAGGTTTACTCGGCTGCTTGGAGGTATTGATAGCTGGTCTTGTGCCGGCAGTCAATGACGCAGGCAGCTTGGGTGTTGTCTTTTTCTGCGGTTTCAGCTCTACGTGCTCAACTGTTGCACTCTGTGGACTCGTGGTTGTGGCTGGAGGCGAAAATACTGGCAATCTGGTTTGTGATGTGCTTGGCTGTCTCAAACGACCAACTTTGGTCGAATGCACAACGCCTGGAGAGTATGAGGACAGCGAGGTTGGCGTCGAGCCGCGACTCCACATGCCAGGAGATTCCGAATATCTGGTCGAAGGAGTACTCGCAGAAGGAATGAGGGGAGTTGTTGAGGGTAGTAGGGGCTCAGTGGGGACTGCTGTACGAAGACTTGCCAATTCGACCGGGCCATGGGTCGGTGTATCCATCACATATTGAACTCTTTCATTTGCTGAGGTTTTTGCGAGTTTGCGTGGCTCAATGGATTGGGAGATAGAAAACGTTTGAGGTTTGACGTCTTTCATTTCCACAGAGCGAAACGTTTGGGGTATGAGTAGGCTCAGCTTTTGGGACTGCTGTTCAACATGTTTTCCTATTGTTGGTGCTTTTCTCCGAAGCACGTTGCGAGGTCGTTTTGGAGGGGAGGCTTGGTATGTAGGTACAAATGCAGATGGGCTGGTGATATCGGGTGTAGATATAGACGAGGGTATCGATTGAGTTGAGAACTGAGGCGATATTGATGATGCAGGGGAGGCTGATGAATGTGGTTCACCAGTACTTGGGCGTGGGAGCATTGACAGGCGCTTAGTACGGGTGGCCGGCTGTAGCGTTGACGTTGATAAAGCTGGCACTTGACCAATTCCTTCTGCCGCAGATACAGACGATGCCCTATTATTTCGAGGTGTAAATTTGAGAGGTCGTGCTATTTGAGATCGAGGGTTTTGAGGCGCATATGTCATTCTAGAGGTGGTGGTACCTCGATGTGATATGTCTGCAGGCTGAGCATATTGATTATTCGACGGCATGCGACGGTCGTCATGATTGTACGACGACATGGTGCGACGTTGACAGAAGTTGGGGACTCCAATTTTGAGACAAGATGTCTGCTAATGAGGACATGTGCATCGAAATCGTAATCATCACGGGCGTAAGCAATGTGGCAAGGGAAATCCTCTAAGCGCCAGAGTCTGAATAAGTATGGAAACAATATTCTGAAGTAGATGGCGGATGAGCGTACAATTTTCTACCACATTATTCTCCACAGGTAGGTCTTCAAACCACTTGCCAGCGAGAATTGATTAATAGATAGAAAGAGGAGAATGAGGTTGTGCGGCCCCAGGGTATCTCAAAGCGAATGTGACGCCAACTATAGAGCAAAAAGGTAATTAGAATTAACAGTAAAAATCATGAATGACGAAAGTAACAAGTAACTTGCAGACGTCAGGTAGATAAAATATGGAAATTCACCGACATTGGGCTGATCGGCGCCAGCGGAGCTGCAGCTGCTTCGCCACAGTTTGGAGCAATGTGGCACTCAGGATTTTCCAGCCTCGGCCACGTCAGAGGTGGGAGATCCATAGGGGCCTAAAATAAAAACCCCCAGAAAGGAAATCAAGTTTTGACCGCCGTGGATTATAGTCGTGGCCGAAGAAGAAAGAAAAAATTCAAGACGTGATCAGACTACTACACCGCGAGGCGGACTTTATGTGCTGACTGGGTTTCTTCCCCCTCTTGCAATGTGGGGGTTAGCGAGAAAGCCTCTGGGTACGCCATATAGAAAGCAGCGAGTGGCATCTTCGGATCAACTCGACGGCGGACCCGGTACTGGCCAGGAGAAGCCGGCCAACTGAACCGTCATTGGGCGTAGATTTGTGACTACATTTGTGATGAGGACCGATGCGCGGACGCCAGGGTCTGGGGCCTGCGAGGGGCCCGGATCGTGCACGTTTGAAGCATCGGCCCCGAAAAAATACCAGACAAAGTTAATTCGCTACTCCTATCACGAACCGTCGTGCTGTTTCAAGGGCCAGTGGCGCCGGGTGGAAGGAATAGCGCATCGGCCCACGTCTGAACGACCTGGCGATATCCCACGAACGAGCTCGGCGAGTTCAGCGAGTCCAGCAATCTCAGCTGACTACTTCCAAGGTGCGTAGACAGATACCGCTGATAGTTGGATAGAAGAGCCAACGAGAGGCTCACCGCGTCTGCGTCGTCTCGTTGCCAACGCATCGATCGGAGACGCCGAACCCGATCGGACTGCACCGTCGATCCGCCCAAAAAGGCTGACTTTGCGCACGTTGCTTCTTTCTCCGGCTCATTTTGTGTGGAAAGATGTCGCTAGATAGTACCTAGTACGGTTGCCAGCTCGCGACTGTTCCCCAGAACTCGGAGAATTATCCAAGGGCGCACAGATGCAGATGCAGATGCAGCTGTACATACTAGGCATGGGGGTACATGGTACATTGGCAGGCGATGAGCTAGTGCTTTCAAGCTAGCAACTATCCTACCAGGCACTATATGGTGAGAATTCCCTTTCAGTGCCGAAACTCGAAATTTCAAGACCGAATCCACTTGTGACCACGTTAAACCCGTTATCCAGAGTCTGGTTCAGAGCAAGGCCCGTCCCGTGAACCAGGATAGGAGGAGACCAGGGCCCCAATTCTCCGACCCCAAAATTGAGCATACACTGTTGATGCTATTGGTGGTGTTGGCTCTGTTGGATAGGTCAAGTCTCGTCCGCCAGTGAGATGTCGTAGATGGCGTTGACTCTTCTTGGTGGTTAAACCCCGGGGCTACGGCGACTCCACTTCGTAGCAGCATGGCGTTCTCGATGCTCATTGCACGTCTTACCGCCCTAAAAATAACAGTGGGAGCGAACAAGAGCCCGGGATTCATGACCTGGTCTATTCTCGGTGGAGATGGCGCTAAAGACGAGCCCTGGCCATATCACATCCATCCCATCGGCCTCATTGGCGGCGGGGAAGTGGACCATCTTGTTCCGCACTGTTTGCCCATCCCGTCTTGAGACCGTGCGACGAAGCACAAAGTAAACCCCAAGCCGATGCCGGCGAGGTCCAAAGTATCACGTTTGAAGGCTTTCCTTTCGACAGGTGGGTTCGTCGATCCCGTTGTATTGTGCCGATCTGGAGGGGCCAGCCCCGTTCTGAAGCCACACTGGTCAGCGCCCACGCTGCAGGAACGAGAGGCTAATGCACATTTCAGCTGGTGGGGTTTCGGAAGTCGACAGAGAAAAAAGGCTCTCCACGCTTCTTCGCACGGATTGGGGAAGTGAGAACTTTAGGGACAGAGAGGGAGTGGTGAGAGAAAGAGAGGGGAGAGAGGGAGGGAGGAAGAGCGTTCCAAGGTTGATGACAATTGAAACCCTCAAAGGAACTTACTTTGGTCAGCACATAATACTCCTCTCTACTGTCCGTACAATATGCATTGTTCAAATGCCTTCTTCCAAATCTGAATATAAGTTTTTGAATCCGAATTAAATTCAGTTCGATTCCCTGTTAACATATTACAAACGCCCGTAAATAAGTAAACCCGATATGTAAAGCAACTTCCTTGAGATTCACTCCACCAAGCTCAAGCCGCCTGTGCAAATCGCTTCTTGCGAGCCTCCATTGCTGCATTGTCCTTCTCACTGAAGTTCGATTTGGGCCGGCCCGAGGCAGCATTGCCACCTCCAGCCCGCTTCTGAACTCCATCTCCACGTCCATCCCCACGACCGTTGCGGTTGCGGTTTCGACCCATATCCCGTCGCTTGCCTCCACGGCCCCCCTGGTCCCTGGGACCCCTCTTGCGGGACTTTTCGTTGGGAAGAGCCTGGTCAAGGCCGTGGACACCCACAGTGGAACCATCCTCAGCCTCGGCTCCAGTACCGAAGCGCTTCGCCCGGGAGAGCTGCTTTTCGGCCTCCTTGACGGCTGTCTCGTGGTCCTCGACGATGCCGTACTTCTCAGCGCGCGCCTTGCGCTTCTTCAGCTCCTCCTCCAACTCCGTGGCGGGAAGACCTCGGGTATAATCCACCGCAGGCTTCTTCTCCACCTCTTCGACAGCAGCCTCAGGCTGGGCAGCATCGGTAAGACCAGTCGATTCCACCGTCAGGTCGTCTGTCGCGGCGGGATCAACATCCAGTTTTTGATTCGGGACGGCGACGGGGTTGGCAACGGCACCCTTGCCGCCAGCAGCAATAGCAGTCGCACCAGCTTCGGTCGCTGCGTTCGCAGCTTCGGCGGGAACATCGTCGTCCCAGTCGATCACATCTTCGGCGGTGTCGGCCTTTGTCTCCGTGGGAGCAGCGGCGTTCTTTGCATCATCCTCTTGGAGGCGCGCGACCAGATCCGCCTTCTTTCCGGTGTGCGCAAGCGAGCGCGACTTGAGGATCTCGACCAATTCAGCGTTGGTCTTCTTGCCGTAGTCGGTAGCCATATTGAGAGGTGGGCTTCGGATTGCGACGTGCGGTATGGAGAGGGTAAGAGGGTAGGTGTCGGGGGTGACGTCGGGTTATAGTGGGGAATGGCAGATTGAGATAGAGTGTGATAGTATATCAAATGTCACTACTCTGCATGCCTTGTGTGATGGGTGGATATGAAATGGATGCAATTGAAGGAATGAATGCTGTAGCAATTGCCAATGACGACGCGACGGCCGACCGTCGCGGTCGTGGCTGCCTTGCCACGTGATCACCAGCCACAGTTTCTATTCAACAACACTATAACACACAACATCAATATCAACATCAACTACAACATACAACAACTCGGCAGTCTCAATTATGCATTGTGCACTCCGGTCAAGAGACATTATTCCTCCGCACACCCTATGTGGACCCCTCATCCAGCAGAGAGATGGCCATGTTGCAAGTGGCAAAGAACCTCTGCTGGCCAAGTCCGACACGGAATACATGGCTACAAACTTTGTCCATAATTTGCAGTCCCATGTATCATTCGGTGACTCCGACTGGGCGAGTCTACCTTGCAACTTGTCACTGCTGGTTAGGATCGGCAACCCTGGATAAGATGATGGCCAGTGCTTAGCGTTACTGACAGCTAACAAATCCTCCGAGCCGCCGGTCCAAGCACCTGCCAGACCATATCAAGGTCGAAAGTTGGAGCTTGAGCCCTCGGAAAACTCTGCATCATCCTTGTCCATTGAGTCATAATTGACAGCTGTCCGCTGAACATGCTGAAGTCCACTGGTGGAGCATGTGCACGGACTGCGCCACACCGTGAATATCCGACTGCGCCACGAATGCTATGTAGCTATTGGTAGGTTATTATTCCCTTGTTCTTCTAGTTTCTTAGTGGACATTGCTGCAAGTTTTCGATAGGAAATTCGATAGGATATTTTCTTAGGTCGAAAGAAGCTTCTGCAGATTTTGGCTAGTATTGAATATTTGCATCTTGAGTTCTGGGTCAAAATCCATGAAATCGGATAACCAAGTGCAGCTACAAGATCAAAGATCAAAATCCACCGGGCCCTTTGCCAAAGAATCCACCCTTGGTAACTTTAAGTCATGGGACAGAGTTAGCATCGTACGTGTTGGACCCAACTGTATTCCCCCACCAATCGAATTGGACAGCATGGTATCCCAGGGCGAAAAAGAATATGATTGTCGCAATGGCCGTCCCAGTATCCATGGCTGCTTGCAATAGGTCTGGAAACGAGAACAGTTAGAGCTCCATAATCAAGGCGAATTGATCTATAGACTTACAGTTGTAACGTCTCCACCAGTCGAACGCGCGCTTGCGGATGAGATAGTTGAAAGCAAAACCAACGATGAACCACAGAGAATAGTGGGCTATTAAATCAGCCATTATCGTACAACACACAATACAATCTTCGCACTTACTAGTATTTGCTGGCGGAATATTACCCGCCGCATTGAAGAAAATTGGGACGTTAATGTAACGAATCCAGCTATTGGGATAGCGACGGTAGAGGAGATAAACGATTCCAGTGACAACAGGCTTAATAGGGTTGTTAGAAAAAGGAGACATACTACCCCAAGGGATTTGAAAACTTACCCCGATGGTAAAAAAGTACACAAGTTTGTCGTATATAGCATATTTCCAAGTATAAGAATATGTCCTTTCTGGTTCTTTTTAACCCTAAAATAGAATCCGAGTTTCAATCGTCCCGATACCTGGGGTGAACTTTTGTGGAATAGGTGCCTTGAAATTGTTCCCAGTGCTACATGTAATAGATTGAGACAAGGTGGATTATTCTCCAAACTCAATTTAACTTGATCACGCCTACCTGACCAGGTATTATGTGATCCTAGTGATTTTCCCGGTGGGGGTTCAGGGCTGAGATTGAAGTTATTATGCTTAAAAGCAACATTATATAGATTTTGATTGGGTCAGAGAGTTGAATAACTTCTGAAATAAGCTAAGATCACCAAATTTATACAATTCTTTCTTCTCCGGGACGAATTTCCCATGCCAAATAGGTACTAACCAGTATACCAACAGGTGAACCTTCGGGGTAGTTTCGGCGCTACTAGTATGCTAGTACATTAAGTTAAAGTTTTATCGTCGGCGTGATAACGCCGCCTTGTGGGCTTTCTCTTAGCTCAAAACGACTTTGGCTAGATCAAGGCATTCTTGCCTATACACATCGGAGAAGCATGAATCTGTTACAGTATGTAGCAATACCATGTCTAAACAGGAAACCGCCCAGTAATGCTAGCAAACTATCCCAGAATTTAAACAGGCCAAGAAACAAGCACGCGTAATAGATACGTGGCCCACATTTACAGGGAATTCCTGTAGTTACTCTATACTCGCTCTCCGACCAGATAGCTCTTTCCACTCCCGCTCGTTCCAACTACTGCACCTCTCCTCCAATCCAGACTCTTCCCCCTCCTTTCTTCTTCTTCTTATTTCCATTTACATCTCTCGCTCCTCATATTAGTACCCTTCTGGGCTGCCTCATCATTCGTTTGGACATCGTGACACCCTGTTTCCTTCACTTCGCCCTCCTCCACCACCACCACCATCATTGTCACTCACTTCTAGCACTTATGCATTACCGATCTCATAAAGACGGCTGGCTCTTCGCTTTTGCCTCGCTCTCTGCCGAGAAAACTGGTTAAAGAAAGCTTTTTAAGTTATCTCTCAACTTCTCAACAAACCCCAGTCTTTGGACCTTAGCCAGTCCAACCTCAAGGGTTGGGTCTTAACTCTCAAGCTAGGATGATCCTACGGTATACCTCTCTACTGCTCCTAGTTCAGGTAAAATCCATTGGCTGACCACACTAAAAGACTCAAATGATGTAATATCTACATTCAAAGGAACCACTTCTTATGGCCTGGGTGTCTCATCTTCCAGGATAGACATCATGCACAGGCTCAGTCTTAAGTTAGTGGAATGTGGCCACATGGCTGCACCAATGTTCAGACGAAGGTAGACTGAATCGTTACTTTCATATTCGTCCCTAGACTTCAGAGTCGAAACCAATTATCGAACATCATCGTCAGAGCAGCATGGTTTCCCAGTACCCTCCTGGCGAGGGTCCTTTCGGATGGCCGCTACGCGACGAGATTAACACTCATGATCGCAACCCTCTGAGCTCACCTTCCTGCGCCCCTCATCGACCACAAGAGCGTCAGTAAACTTTTGGCCTAGAAACCCGCATGTTTTCTCGCTTGTCTCGAGATAGATAAATCAGGGGTGTATAGCCAAAATGCAGCAGATTCACAGGCAAGGGACCAACAGACGTAGTCTTAGATACACAATGTGGCACGGGATTGGAAAGACTTTCTTGTGAATGGAACCTATTTACAAAATGATCACCAAGTCCGGCTGGAAAGTCTTCTTCAAAGCGGACGCCGCAAATGGATACTGGGCCGTGCCCTAGCTCCCGAGCACGCATTCAAAACAGCTTTCACTACCGCCTTTGGTCAATATTGCTACTTGCGAATGGGGCAGGGGCTCAGTGGAGCAGCAGGGAACTTGGGAAGACCTTACCACATGCGCAACTTGAATTGTACCGGAACGTCCATCCTCCGCCATATTAGGAAAGGCTTCTCAATGGCTCGAATATCCTTGAAACTCTCAATATCACTATCGAAATGCTACAGGGCACAGGTTATACAGGGCGTACAATATTTCTTCTTTCTGACGATTAAAAGTGTAAAATCAGAGCTCTCTACCTGATAAGGCCTCGTCGTGTTTTCTTTATTCTTTGGTCGTTCATGCGAATTACTGCCAGTGGCGACTGTCGTGCCGAATCTTCGTAGCTTTCAACTGCGACTACTAGTAGCTACAATACCATTCCTGGTTAGCACCCTTTCTCTCTGGTGATAAAAATATTGAAGGACAGGTATTCCTACGACCCCTAGGCCTGGTTATTTGAAGCATTTAAGATTTAATACATAGACTAGATTCTCATTCAATGTAAATCAACTTGAAGACATGAAAGGGAATAAAACGGTTAGCGAATAGCAACTGTTTCACGAATTCGTTCCATGAAATCACCAATTTGTCTGCTATATTCGTTTACCAAAGCGTGAACACTTTCTTGGCGATGAGGACCTTGAGGGTCATCACCTGGTGCAAGATTGTTAAATGTAAACCTGACTTCATCGAAAATTATTCGAATTACACTCTGCCATAGGCTGCATCCTTTATCCTCCACTTGCAAATAGCAAAGAAAGTTGACCGAAGGAGCGCCTAGAAGACCTATAGCCACCTTATTTGCCATTTTCAGGTGGAGGCTGAGGGATACGATCTATGGCAGAGTGCAATTCGGATAATTTTTGATGAAGTGCCTAGGTGGGTTTTGCAGCTGCTAATCTGCTATGGGCGGTGATAATTTTCAAATTCATAAACATTAATTTACATTTCATCCGTAGAACCAATATTCTGCGGCATATTCAACGAGTACGGTATCATTCTGCCCTGCACATGTTGTTGGAGCAACTCCGCCGACGGTCATTACTCGATAGACTTCCTAGATATTGTGTCAGCAAGGTACTGATTTGTAAACCTACTCGACTATTTTGCTTACCTTGATGCCCTTGCAATCCTTGCAATCAAGCTTTAACCATGGAACATTGCTCTCGTCTTTTCCAGATATCCGAGAAACTCTTGTTGGTGCGCTCACAGACGCATCCTTCTTGCACTCCATCCATGCATCTGACCCACTCATGTTCAAATCAAAGAAAGGATCTCCTGCGGTATTGAAATAATGTTCACCGATGATCAGGTTGCTCGAGTTTGTAGTTAGGGTCAAGGCCTCGACCATGAGGGCAAAGGACCCCAGCGGAGTTTGAGCAATGACTGCAGGGAGCTCGTGGAGCAACATCACTGACTGTGATGCTATGCAAGATGCATCAAAAAGAGTAGCCACCGCTCCGACCGCTACCGGTGTTGCAGACTTTTTTGAGGAATGTGAGCTCTCGGTGGATGAGCATGAGTAGTTTTGAGTACCACGCCCCAACGCAATGTACTTGAGATCCAAATGAGGTGACGGCTCTGGGAGTTTGGTCTTGGTATAGTTCATTGGGAGGGTCACAATGTTGAGAGAGCAATTTCCCAAACTGATATTATCAAACTCGGTGGTGATGCGGGAGAAGGTAGAGGCCAGTCGCAAGGGGCCGGGAAGGGCAGATACTCCTAGTAGACATGTAGTCAGGAGTATCAGGGGCGCCAAGATGATTCGCAACATTATGGCAATGATTATACGGAGAATAATATGTGTTCTTCGGGAATCGAGCCTCAGTCAAGAATGGAAAGATGACAAAGATGATAGAAGGCTAGGGTTGGAATTTGGGAAATCAGAAACAAGAGGGGAGAGAGTTTACTTAAATAAGCGGAAGCGCCCAGGAGGAAAAGGCCCAGCACAAAGAAACTTGAAGAACATGCACTCTTTCTTTGGCTCGGATACTAGGCAAGAAGTTGACAAGGCTTACTCCAGTCCAATATGTCCAAACTTTAAATGCTGTGCAAGGTGGTCCTGTTTCTTTTGAGGTATACCACGTCAGAAAAGGCGGCTATGTCTAATCATCCCAATAAAAAAAGTCTTCAAGGCTGACAAAATGGGGCCAACATTGGGCCACCTATACTAAAACTGTTCTCTTTGTTAGCTACTCTGGCAAAGGTGAACTAAAAGCTTCGCGACTAAGAATCCGATCTATGAAGGCCCAGCAAGTAATTTTAGCTCCAATTCAGTGACCAATAAAAGGCATGCATAGACTTTACTATCTAATATAGCCTAGAGAATGTTACATCCCAAAGGCAGTGTCCTACCAGCCGCCTGGGAACTGTCGGTGTGACCACTGTGCTCAAATCATATTTCATCTTGACTATCATGGGGCCGACAGATCTGGGACTTCGTTGAGCAAGTAGTTTCATCAAAATTCTATTTACAATAGCATATCCCCGTAGTACTAGTAAACTTCTGTATCGAACAAGATTACTTCGTCTTGAGATACCAATAACCCGAGGACCATAACACTTTGCCCCAAGGCGCAAATATCGACACTACAGCAAAACTTAATGTATAAATACATAGAGTGACTCTCTATCTAGATAGTTTTTAAAAATAGGTGTATTGAGGGTTGTTCCACTGAAACGGCAAGTGTGTGACATAAATAGACCCTAAGCGCCCACCCAGCGCAACGGTGAGTTTGGTGTGAGGCATCCTCCGAGGTCAATTTCCCGGCTCCTAATCAGGAAAATTATGGAAACCTTGGAATATTTGCCCCTCTCAATTTCCACCACCAGACCAATGGAAAGATTGACATCATTGAACTCTTCATGCATGGCATAGATGGACAATATGTTTGGTTGCCTTTTAGCCTGAGGCAGAAATTGATAGCTGATCATCCCATCACGTGAGTCCCACTAGCGCGACCGTCACGGGTGAAAATGCACGTCGCGGCAGGCCATCAAACGACACAGCTCCATTATCATCAATGCTGCCGTTTTAACGGTGCCCGATCCGGATGTAGCTGCTGTTACGCATTTTGCGCGATCATAAACTCATCCATCATATCTGATCCTTGACTCGACATCACCATGTCCGACGGTGCGCATCTTGTGACTCCCCTCACTGACCCATTACTGATGACTCCTATAGCCGATATTGAAGCTGTCCGGCGGCTCCAGGCGGAGCGTAATGCCGCCGCTGCTGGCAAGAATGGCTCGAAGACTTTTGATCCCTCTGCTCAGCGCACTGACAACTCGACTAAGGCCTCCCTTACCGAATCCTTCGACACGACTCTTTACGAACGGGAAGGGGCAGATCGATTCTCGGGCTACGATACTTCGATTGCAGTTGACGGTGGCGATGAAGAAATGGAGGATGCGAACGGCGGCCACAACTTGGTTGGCCAATACACCGCTACCAGAAACCAAATCGATGAGATGGCCCGTGGCAACGGAGTCGAGGAGGAGGATATCTTGACAGGCCGTGAGAAAGCGGCGAGAATCGCGGATCGCGAAACCGATTACCAGAAGCGCCGATTCAATCGCGGTGCTCTGACCCCGACTCGCGCCGATGCCTTTTCCGGAGACTCAAACGTGGAGGGAGAAGGGCAGACGTACCGAGAGATTATGGCTGAGCGTGAGCTCCAAAAGGAGGAGGAACGTGTTCAAAAGCTGATTCAAGAGAAGCGAGAGCGTGGCGAAGAAGTTCCCGAGCACCAGCCCACTCTCAAGGCCGTGGAAGACAACAAGGAGAACGACGATGATGGCTCAGCCGCCGCCGGACGCAAGCGAAAGAAGCGCTGGGACGTTTCATCGGAGTCCACAGATGCTACCAAGGCACCTGAAGAGTCTACCGAAGCGAAAACCAAGCGGTCGCGATGGGATCAAACACCCGTCCCAGGTGCGCCAGACGAAGGGTCCAAGCGACGTTCACGATGGGATCAAGCACCGTCCCTCACTTCTGCTACTCCGGTCGGAAACCAGGGACTTGCTACCCCGATGCATCCGTCCCAAGGTGGTTCCACTGCTCCAGCCGGCTTTGGAACTGATTTATCCGGCCGAGGTACTGACTGGACCGACGAGGAGCTTGATATAATGCTCCCCTCAGAAGGTTATAAAATCCTGGACCCGCCACCAGGATATGCGCCAATCCGGACACAGGCGCGCAAGATGATGGCGACTCCAGCGCCTGTTGCCGGAGCGGCCGGTGTTGGAGGTTTTATGATGCAGGAGCCTGAGAGCGTTCGCTCGATGGGTAAGGAACTTCCAACCGACATTCCCGGAGTTGGCGATCTTCAATTCTTCAAGCCGGAGGATATGGCTTACTTTGGTAAACTTATGGAAGCTGGAGACGAGAGCTCCATGTCAGTTGAAGAGATGAAAGAGCGAAAGATCATGCGGTTGTTACTGAAAGTCAAGAACGGCACACCACCCATGCGAAAGACGGCATTGCGACAAATCACAGACAATGCTCGAAACTTTGGAGCCGGCGCTCTATTCAACCAAATTCTTCCTCTGCTTATGGAGAAATCATTGGAGGATCAAGAACGCCACTTGCTGGTCAAGGTTATTGACCGAGTGCTTTACAAGCTGGACGACTTGGTCCGTCCCTACGTCCATAAGATTTTGGTCGTTATTGAGCCCCTCCTCATCGATCAAGACTACTATGCTCGTGTTGAGGGTCGAGAAATTATCTCCAACTTGGCCAAGGCCGCCGGTCTTGCCACTATGATCAGTACTATGCGACCTGATATTGATCACGTCGACGAGTATGTTCGAAACACCACCGCGCGAGCATTCGCAGTCGTCGCCTCCGCCCTGGGTATCCCAGCTCTCCTCCCCTTCCTTCGCGCCGTCTGCCGCAGTAAAAAGTCCTGGCAAGCTAGGCACACTGGTGTCAAGATTGTCCAACAAATCCCTATCTTGATGGGCTGCGCCATTCTTCCTCACCTCAAGGGCCTTGTCGACTGTATTTCCGATAACCTCAGCGACGAGCAAGCAAAGGTCCGAACCGTCACTGCTCTAGCTGTGGCTGCTTTGGCCGAGGCCGCCAACCCTTACGGTATCGAAAGCTTCGATGAGATCCTCAACCCCCCTGTGGACTGGTGCTCGCAAACAGCGTGGCAAGGGTCTCGCTGCCTTCTTGAAGGCTGTCGGTTATATTATTCCTCTCATGGACGAGGAGTATGCCAACTACTACACCAGTCAAATCATGGAGATTCTCCTTCGTGAGTTTTCGTCTCCTGACGAAGAAATGAAGAAGGTTGTTTTGAAGGTGGTGTCACAATGTTCCAGCACGGATGGTGTGACCGCCAGCTACCTCAAGGAGCACGTCTTGACCGACTTTTTTAAGAGCTTTTGGGTCCGTCGCATGGCCCTTGATCGACGAAACTACCGCCAGGTGGTGGATACCACTGTTGACCTTGGACAGAAGGTTGGAGTTGGTGAGATTCTTGAGCGCGTTGTCAACAACCTGAAAGATGAAAGCGAGCCATACCGAAAGATGACCGTGGAGACGGTGGAAAAGCTAATTGCGTCACTGGGAGCTGCGGATATCTCAGAGCGACTGGAAGAGCGACTCATCGATGGTGTGCTCTATGCCTTCCAGGAGCAAAGCATCGAGGACCTTGTCATTCTGAACGGATTTGGCACCGTGGTGAACGCCCTCAGCACACGATGCAAGCCCTACCTCCCCCAGATTGTATCTACCATTCTGTGGCGGTTGAACAACAAGTCTGCCACTGTCCGACAACAGGCCGCAGACCTTATCTCACGCATTGCCATGGTTATGAAGCAGTGTGGTGAGGACGCTCTTATGGGCAAGCTTGGTATTGTGCTTTACGAATATTTGGGTGAGGAGTACCCCGAGGTACTTGGTTCTATCTTGGGTGCCCTGCGTTCCATTGTCACCGTGGTCGGTATCAACCAGATGCAACCACCAATTCGCGACCTTCTACCCCGACTTACTCCCATTCTCCGCAACCGACACGAGAAGGTACAAGAGAACACCATCGACCTAGTCGGTCGTATTGCCGACCGTGGTCCTGAGTCCGTCAATGCCCGTGAATGGATGCGTATCTGTTTTGAGCTGCTGGATATGCTCAAGGCTCACAAGAAGGGTATCCGTCGTGCTGCCAACAACACATTCGGTTTCATTGCTAAGGCTATCGGTCCCCAGGATGTCCTGGCTACCTTGCTGAACAACCTGCGAGTCCAAGAGCGTCAATCTCGTGTCTGTACGGCCGTCGCCATCGGTATCGTAGCTGAGACTTGTGCTCCCTTCACAGTGCTCCCTGCCCTGATGAACGAGTACCGAGTCCCTGAGTTGAACGTGCAGAACGGTGTTCTCAAGGCGATGTCCTTCTTGTTCGAGTACATCGGTGAGATGGCCAAGGACTATGTCTACGCCGTCACTCCTCTGCTGGAGGATGCTCTTATCGACCGTGACCAGGTTCACCGGCAGACCGCTGCTAGTGTGGTCAAGCACATTGCTCTGGGCGTTGTCGGCCTGGGCTGCGAAGATGCAATGCTCCATCTTCTCAACCTCGTATTCCCCAACATCTTCGAAACCAGCCCCCACGTCATTGACCGGATCATTGAGGCCATCGATGCGATCCGCATGGCTGTCGGTACTGGCACAGTGATGAACTACGTCTGGGCTGGATTGTTCCACCCGGCTCGAAAGGTCCGCACGCCTTACTGGCGACTTTACAACGATGCCTACGTGCAAGGTGCGGACGCGATGGTACCCTACTACCCAGGTCTGGAGGCGGATGGCCTGGATCGACCAGAGTTGTCTATCATCATCTAAGGGATGGTGCTGTAATTTGACTGGGTTCTTCTGCTACTGTTTTCTCTCATGCATAACTACGTCTGGGATCTTTTGCTTTACTTTGATAGCCGGTGTCTCACTATTTTATTTTTATTTTCTTGTTTCCTCGTTCATTCTTCTTCATGCAGGCACGATCGGACGTTCGGCGTGGGTTGACTGTATATCAAACTGCAAAAGTCATTTAGGAATATATCGGATCAAATATGACCGTAACCATCAGGAACCGTCCAGTAAAACTAATTGCAGTAGTCTGTATCATTTGCGACCGGTGGTAGATTATTTTGCTGAGTGGCGTGGCTCCTGTCAGATTTACATCAGGCTGCGGCGTTTCGCGGTCGCAGTCGATGGGGGCCAGAGGTGGCAACAGCCCAAATTTATTATGGACCGACGCGCACGACTGAGGCTTTTTCCACCTGGGCAGCAATTGCGATGGCAATTAATTAATCCCTCATTTATTATTTAGTATGAATCGGAGGGAAATTGTCTCAGTACGACAGTGTCGATAATAAGCAAATAGATTTATAATAGTAGTACTAGTAGTATTTGTATGAGGCGTTGTGCACACGACGATGCATGAGATATAGTGTCCCCCGGGGGCCGATTCTGGGGTGGCTTCGCACTAACAAAAATATATATATTGCAAGACAATCTAAATCGAACAAGACCGATCGCACTTATCGCGCGGTCTACGCCATACGCCACGGGCGCGATCCGGAATTTCTTTAACTTATGAATCCAAGTCAAAGCCAAGATAAGATGAGCCTTGAACTGTATAGAGTCGATCACCAACGATCCCTGTAAACATTCAGTGGTGACAGGGGGGTGGTTCGAGTTGCCGAGCAGCGATCGCTCTTGACACGGACAATCATGTCAATCCCGAATATCTTCTCCCTCTCCGGGCGACAGGAGTCCGGGGTAGGGTTTCTGCAGCGACGCCGACGGAGTGGTGAACTAGCGAGGACCCTGGATTTAACAGATCCTGGCGCCAGTATTTCACTATTTACATAGACTATTTGACGGCGCGGCGTAGTTTACGGAGCCCGATGGAGACGATGGGCTTGAACTAGTTTGATTGACAATTCAGCGACAAGTTGAGAGAAGAGATTTTGGACTGGGATATTGAGGGGGAAAGGGAAATTCCTTCACCCCCATCTTCCCTTCTCTGCTGGATTCGACAATTTGCCACCGGGCAAAAATAGAATAAAAATGGGTAGAAAATTATTGTAATCACCAACACGTAAGATAGAGGGATACGAGTACTCGTACTCCGTGGAGAGGAGAGAATCATGGACAGCAACAGCTACTCGTATGGGTCCGAAAATTTAGAAAGCTCCCAGGGAATCCCTTGAAGCAAGCAGGGCGAACAGCCGCCAACCACCCAACAGCTTGGAAGTCAACGCTAAACCCATCGAGATTGCCAAGACGCGCCAAATGCCTAAGCTTGCCGTGAAAAGGCCTTGGCACAGGTGGTGGCCGCGTAAGCTCTCCATGAGGACGTCAGGCCTACTGCTTGGCTGTGGGGAAGGGGAGAAGGGGGTTGCGCGATATTCGTGGTACAGGTCCAGTCAGGGACCCTTTTTTCCCTTTTAGGGTCTGGTAGGGTGGTACAGTACTGATTTACATGAATTTGATTTATGTCATTTATTCTATACTCTCTACTCCGTACTCTATGTACAGTATACAGAATCCTGATCCTCCAGAGACATGGTACTATCGGGTTTCATGGTATGTACTCCATAGTAAGGAATTTAGATATACTTGGGGCGGGGTGCCCAACAGAGATGTGCAATTGTCTCACTTTATTCCGAGCAAAAAGGGCAGCGATCACTGCTAACTCCAAGTTAATGTGAACTAAGCTCAAAAAAAGGTCGAAAATAAAGGCAAGACGGGTTGGATTGTCTCGTTCTCATTCTCAATTCGGAGCAGAGAATAGATACGAGTATGCACTTAGTTCGAGTAGTACATACAATAGAGGGAAAAATAAATAAATCAATACTTTGTATACCCGTACTGTACTTCGTATCTACTCCATTTACTCGGTACATCTACACAGCCTCCCCCTGATTTCAATGCTCAATGGAATCTCCAATCACGCCAGGCCGCGCGCCGGGGAATGAAGATGGAGTCTGCACACACTTCGCTACCGCAATTCCCATCTTCAATTTTCTACCAACTACGAGTATACACACAGACCCTGCGATAAGGGGTGGGAGGGGCCACTGGGGGCGTCGACTGTGTGTAACGCGTTTCCGCCATTTTATCCTGTTGTAGCTAGATCCATGAGGCAATTTTTTTAATTTGATGGGCTTTTTCTTTTTTTCACTTTTCTTTTTCTCTGGGTCTCTGGGTCTCTAAATGGTGTGCCGGGGTGGATTTTCAGGGTCTACGGGTTGCCGTTTTGGAGGGCTTGGGAAGGGCCTTGGGCTGCCGGGAGGGCGCAAAAATCCAGATTTAGAGTTTTGCTGTATTTTGATTTTGGGGAGATGGATTTTGTCTAATTGCTTTTTTAATTCAATTTTTTTTTTTCATTTTTTTTTTCTCCATTTGATACTTCACGATGCTCTGTTAGTACGGCGGCTGGGAGCGCCTCCCCTCCCATTCATTCTGGGAAGTGCCAGCCTTTTGCTGGGCTTACTACTAGTTGCAAGAATGGAGGCGGTGACTCCCAAATAAAGGTTTTCAACACCACCAAATGCCCCCCCCCCACCGATGGCAGTCTCCATCTAAAGATCGTGGAGGCGTCGGTGGCACATGCAGGGTATGGGCGCTCAGGGTCCACTTCAGTGGGTGCCGAATATCATCATATTTTAATATTATTGGCAGTGATTCGTGATCGTAGATTTGTAGAATTTAAAGCTACATATGTATGTGGAGTTGGAGGGTCGCGTGCGGCAGGTTCTGCGAGGCCGCGTACCACATCTGTACCTGTCAAGCCATGTATGTATGCGAGATACCGCGGGTTCATGTGAGAAGTTCTCCGGGGAGCATTGAGCATGCAGAGCCAATAAGATCGGATTGGGCAGGGAATATTGCGCAAGAGGGTAGGGATCATGGATTGGGGAGAAGGGTTGTGCTCTGAATGATTGGTACTGAATCAACAATGCAGATGGAACTCGGTCAGGTTTCCGTACGATGAATGTGTGGGTGCTATGGTGCTATCCTCGACCGGTCGCGAATAGTTCCAGAGAGCTGGGACTATGAGATATGGCCGATGTTTGGGGCTATACTACTCTGTACTAGGAGGGTATAGATAGGCTGAATACAAGCATAGCCGGTTGAACTAGGTTAGAATAGACAATATTGTACATATTTTCATTTGCAAGGGACCGAAGACCCTGCATCGCGTACGACTCTTGTTGCTTGACTATGAGTACGAGTGCAGGGCGACATACGAGTCGTCGCCTGGTCGATTCGGCGAGGGGGCGGCGCGCTTGGTGGATCGCCCTTGGGGCGTGCCCACCCTGGTTCACCTAGGTGCATCCTCCAGATGTCATCCCATCCCATCCTAAGCCGTCCCTCCCCCTTCCCTCCAGGGCTCTGAGGGCAGTTAGGGTACTCAGGGCACCGGGTCGCATGGGTTTAGTTCCCCGATGCCTGCCAGTGACATCTGCCAAGAACATAAGGCACTCCACTTTCTGCAAGTGCAGCTTTACCAGGGGAAGCTTGATCCGGGTACTGGGGATGAATGAGGAGCTATATTGTGTGAGCATCAAGGAGCTCTGTGAAGGTCAGATGGGAAGAAGAGAAAGCACAGCGCACACCGTAACTTTGCGGAGGCGTTAAAATGGGAGTCGAGTAAACTTTAGGAGACCATTATTGGTTTGTTTTCTTTGGACCAAACTTTTGGTGGCGGGGTCATCCAGCAGCCACCAGCAGCCACCATCACTCACACCATATCTCCAAGGGCTATCTAAGCTTCGAATCACGGGAACCCGAAGTACTCCGTTGGTACGGACAAGGCAGGACCGCACGAAGAAAGAATGGGACGGGAATGGGGACGGGGACCGACGAAGGATCTTTCTATCGGAAAAGAGCCTCGGAAATGGCAAGACCGGAACATACGTAATGCCTAAAAGGGGAAATTAGAGGTTTTCTGATCTGGACGGAATCCTGCTCTCGTTGTTAGACACGAAGTGGCTCATTGCGATCTCGAACGGTTGGGGGTTTGTGGGTGAGTCCGGAAGAAGAAAAGAGCCAACAGTGGATGGTTCGGGGAAGAGCGGTTCTGCTCCACGGGCGTCAGCCCCCAGCGTTTCAGGTGCCCTTAGCGTTGACCCTGAGGGTGGCAGTGTTGTACCTAGCGCCAACAGCGGAGCCCACAGGATCGAAGACAGGGATTGTTCTTTGCAAGAGGGAAGAGGGGCCAACGGGCTTTTGCGGGGGACTAGTTGCGCTCCGACGTCATGGCTGAACATGGCTTGCAGGGATGTGCTAGAGTAGTACATACTATACAGATGTAGAATGAGAGGTTAATGTATACGAATCGTATACAGTATATATGACTGCATGAAAACAGTACCGTATGCGCATAATGTATCCGTGCATCGATGCAGCTGGATCGTAGTTAAACAAAAATAGAACAAAAATCTCCTCGAGCCCAGGAACTTTCGACTCTGGGACAGGAGAAAAGTCGCCTCCTCGAGGCATACCACGTTGACCAAGACAACACTGCTCGGGACAGACGCGTCAGCTCCTGATGGGGCACTGCTAAGCATCGGTGTCAATTGGTCGATCCCACACTGCCAAGGTCGGCTATCGACTATCTGCCGTCCTCAGGTGGAGACTAACTAACCAAATTTGAGACTAGTTCACCAGTGGGTAACTTCTGCACAAACAAGAATGTGGTGGGACTCCTCTGATCCGTGCGGAACCCAGTTAAACTACGGCGGATAAACCCCAAGCCCATCCCATTAGTGCGCCAATGGCAGTCACTAGCCTTTTTTTCTTCCTTTTTTTTTTTTTTCTCCCTTTTTTTCTTC